TACGTACGTACGTAGGTAGGTAGGTAAGTACTAGTAGTCGAGTAGGTAGGTAGTATATATATATATATATATATATATATATATATATACATATCGATTGACGTTGGGAGCCAGACAATATAAGGAAATAAGATGATGGAGCAAGGTGGTTATTCTTGTTTGAAGCTCAGAGCAAGCGTGAGGCTGCTATATACTTCTCCTAGTGGTCTGTGCCACCTATAGTAGCCTGGTGGCCTAAGGCCACGACAGAGCCGGGCCAAGAGCTTTCACCGCCCCGGTAGATCCTCGGTCTGTCGCGGCGCGTCTTCTACAAATTCGCAGCCGCGTTGGAGAACTAGAGAACGATGACAGCGACAACGACATCAAGGAGCTCGAGATTGAGAGTACTGCCCACAAAATCCAGCGAAGCAGAGACTTATCAGAACACTCACGACATGCCATCCCCCACGAAATGGCGAGCGTTACATCCCTAGGTCTCCATGAGCCTACCGGCCTCCAATACGCAAAGCAGGAACATATCGTGCCGCCAGACTCCACCAGCAACTCCTACGAATGGCTCAATCACTTCAACAGCAGTGCCAGCTCCTCTTTCGATGATGACGAGCTGCTGGTAACTCCGCGATGTGTTATATGGAGCAGAGGTGGGGTGTTCCGCAAGGCATATAAGTTCGATCTCGAGAAGGAAGAAGTTACTCAGGCGCTGTTCACTACGTTCCCGAATCTTGGGCCTCTCGCTGCAAAAGAGAATGGGGCGCACCAGAAGAAAGGGTCACCAGGGCAGAGAGAGACGGCAATCGTAGTGTTCCTAAAGACCCAGGCGCACGTCTACTTCCTCGCCGGTACGAGCCATGTGATACACCTACCATTCGAGGTCGAATCCGTATCTGCCGCTCCGAAGGGGCTCATAATACAGCGAAAGCTACGACTCGATAATATGGTTGCAGCCTCGCTCAGATTTCCTCGCGTACCGCCCAATTCCTTTGTTTCCTCCCAGCCTCAGCCATCGTGGTCTGCGGCAAGTTCGCAGCAGTCAACATTCTCGCTTGCGGAGCTTGGGGGGTTGAAGCAGATGCATATGCCACAGTTAACTCTGAAAGATATGTGGGATCCACCGACGTTGAAGAATGATTCAAATTGGCCTCGGCTATTTTCGTTGTCAGATCCCCTCGCTGACATGAGCCTTGTTGCTGCCCAGCTCTCAAAACCTGCCGGTCGTCGAAACAGGGAGAGCTTGTCACAGACCACAACATTGGATCCCGCGGAGGAGCTCATTCACGTTTCACAGCAGGATGAGTTCTCTCCCAAGAATAGCGAGGACCCTCTGATCCTCGCATTAACTTTAAATCGAGAGACGAGCTGTTATACGGTGTGGAAATTGTCATACCTCCCGCCCAAGCCTCCTTTTGGCGAGAAAAAACGAGTTTCGAGTGGAGTGATATCTCGGCGGAGGAGTTCTTTTATGCCAGGGGGGGCCGCTACTGGAGCTACTACCCCTGTTGGAAATGGTCGACCTAATTTTAGAGACAGCATTGGAGATGCACAGCAGGGGATCGGTTCACTGAAGGGTGTTCCCAAACAGAATGAATCTCGAGGCAAAATTGTCGATTTTGCATCCTCGCTCGACCCAGACTTTGAAAGTGCCCTGATGCCACGGAAGAAGTCCCGGCGTGTAAGCTCTATGCTCGCAAGAGCAGATCTTTCTGCATCACATGAGCGCTCTGCTTTCTCGGAACTCGCTTCTGGTCATCCAAACACCGTGAAGCGGCGAGGGGAGTCTCTGGGAAGCCAACATACAAGGACGAGTACAGGGGCATATGCTGGACTGGGCGGTACGAGCTTTGCTCAAACACCACAGTTTAGCCACAGTCTGAGCGGCTATCTTGAAGCCCCAGTAGACGACTTGCTGGACGAGTTGCGGGCTGGAGGTGACTTTGAGGGTTTCCACAACATGGGTCTTGATGATGATGAATTCAATGGGCTAGAGAAAGAAGTTGTGCTTACAAAGATAAGCAGTGTCTCTGCAGAACACAACAATGTTCGGTATTCGGTTCAAAATAAGCCAGCTGCCACTCAATTCAAAGTTTTCACGCTTCCTGCTCCAGCCTCTGCGGCGGATGACAGGGGTAACACGATCGTGGTCTGCATTTTGGATCCTGACGAGAAAAGGCTAGTCGTATTGACTCTTCTCTTGGAGACCAATAAAGCTAGTGTCGATATGGTCAATAAGGAGCAGACTGGAGCAAAATCCGAAAAGGACAGCACTGTGATATCTTTGGGTCCAGTAACGCGGGCGAAGGGAGTGATAGATGCCTGTAGACTTGATGATGGTCGGGTCTCTCGCATTCTAGCGCTAACAGAGACTCTTGATGGGTTCGGGGAGCTGAGTCTGCAGGCCCCATGGAGTCTCCTCATGAAAGTGGCTCTTCCCGAGAAGTTTACGATAAGCAATACTCGAAATTTGAATCATGACCCTACACCCCTCGCCAAACGAGACGGAGGCTTCAGACGTGTCTTAAGTCAGGGGCCACGAGCTTTGCTAGGACTGCGGAATGCAAGACCAGGAGGCATCGTCGACTTGGTGGATGATGAAGGAAAGATGCATCAGCTGCAACTAGTACTCGAGCCACGAAACCCTCACGTTCGCAAAATACTTGAAGTTTGTAGGGCTGTTCTCCCAGCGGGCAGCGGTGGGGAAAGAATACTCGTTTGTTGGTGGAACGTCATGCAGTGGATACGACTCGAGGATGTCGATACAATAGATCCGGAATGGACTGCTCTTGTTATCACGCTGTTCTCAATGGTACTCGGCCTGAGCAGCGCGTCCAAACCTGGCAAACCTGGACAGATGCACCCCAGGAAAAACCTAACAAAAAGCCATGTGAGATCTGGCAGCGGAGCTCAATTGAACTTGGAAAACTGGGATTTGATGCAGGCGGAGGAGGCATCCCACGGAAACCCAGTACCTTCTTGGGGAAGCAACACCGGATGGAAATGGTTGACAGAGGATGATGATATGTTACTTCAGATCCCCGCTTCTCCGGCGTCTGTTTTCACCCCGACTAATAGCAATAATCATCTACCTTTCGTCCGCAGGCATGTAAAACTCGCACGAGAATTTGTGCGCACCAAATTGGGCTTCGACTCCATTTCTAATTGCTTGCCTACCTCCGGAAACACAAGTCTGGAAGTCAGAAAGGCTGCATTTACGGATGTGTTCATTGGCCTTCATCTGCTATACGAGGAGCAAAAGCTCGATACAATGATGGCAGATTCCTTCAGCACAGGTGGCTCAAGCGTAGCGCCCATTCTTGCACAAATTGCCAGATGGCTAGGTTGGGACAGCTGGATCCAGCATTACGACCTCGATGAAGCTTTGTTGCTTTACGTAGACTATGATTCTGGTAATGATCGTTTCCAAATGGCAAGACGTAGCTTACGCGCCTTTAGAACAACCCTTAGATTCGTCAATACCACAACCGATGGAATGTCCTTCGGTGTATGATTGGATTCAAACATGTCTGCGCACACGCAGTTTGATGGCATTCACAACTCTGCCAGACTTAGTTGCGACGCGCTCTACGTCAATAGAAAGCACTTACAACCCCGAGCAATGGTTTTTACTCACACCTCGGACCCTTGTCTTCGTACAATTTTTTTCAGTCATGCAAAGCAACTGGTCTCCCCAGAAGCTTGTAGAGGCACTCTCTTCTGCTGGCGCAGACCAGCTCTTCCTCGAAACACTTCCCGAAGCCGTCCTGGCACCTCTTCAGGAGGCTATTGTAAAGAGCCAAGCAGAACCACTAAGTAGTTGGGATAAGAAGCTGCTCAGTCTTGTGGGTCGGGAGGACATGACTGTGCTTCTTACGCCAGGGAAAAAGCCTCGGCAATCGCAATTGACTTTACTGGTAAGACCTGAGTATCATCAAGAAGGAATACTGCTGACTAGCTACAGGCACCCACCCACGAAGCAAACCTGGATATCCATGCAGTCTGTCTCTCGGTAACGGATACCGAGGTTGCTGGCTCTTTCGATGGATCTGTCGAAGTAGACCGACAAGCAATCAGTCGCTCACTATTCAAGAACGACAGAAGGATGAACGAAGCTATCAAGATTCTCAGTTCGACGAGAGCTACTGTGGCACGCTGCAGGGTCAATCCCCAATGGTCGGAATCAGAAGTGCTAGAGGCACAAAAAGAACATGCACAGATGCTGGCATATCGCGTACTAGCGATTCCTGCGGGGAGTGGACTGCTAAACTACAGCGCTCGCATACCACTGCTCACACAGAAATGGACTATCCGAGGTTTCAATTTGAACTTCGTCATGAAACCAGACAACCACACTGTCACGGCAGACAAGTCCGCATTTTCAGAGGAGAAAATTGGCTGGGCTTTCTTCCATAATGGTGTGGCTTCTGGTCTCAGCATTTCGCGCGATGCCAAAGGCATTGATACCTCCTGGATCCTGTACAATAAGCCCACTCCGGACCTCAGCAATCGACATGCTGGCTTCTTGCTTGCTCTCGGATTGAATGGACATCTGAAGTCAGTGGCAAAATGGGTGGCCTTCAAGTATCTAACACCGAAACACACTATGACTTCCATTGGATTACTGCTCGGTCTGGCTGCATCATATCTTGGCACGATGGATTCGTTGGTGACAAGACTATTGTCTGTCCACGTAACACGAATGCTGCCACCAGGTGCAGCGGAGCTAAATATCTCTCCTTTGACCCAGACGACAGGAATCATGGGCATCGGACTTCTCTACTGTAATACACAACATCGCCGCATGAGCGAAATCATGGTTTCTGAGATCGAGCACATTGACTCGGAGACTGAAGAAGAGCCTCTGCGAAATGAAGGATACCGTCTAGCTGCAGGATTTGCTCTTGGACTCATCAACCTAGGAAAAGGCTCCGACTTGAAGGGGTTATACGACATGCGTCTTACCGAGAGATTGCTTGCGCTCGCTGTTGATAGTAAGAAGGTGGACCTTGTACATGTCCTCGATAAAGCAACCGCCGCAGCCGTGGTGGCAATCGCCCTCATTTTCATGAAATCGGAAAACCAGGTCCTTGCCCGCAAGATCGATGTTCCGGCCTCTTTGCTTCAGTTTGATTACATCCGACCAGATATATTTCTTCTCCGCACGCTTGCAAAACATCTGATCATGTGGGAACGGATTTCTCCTTCCTTTGAATGGGTCAAGGATAATCTTCCAGATGCGTACAAGAAACGGAGTACGCTCGAAGAGATCAAATTTCTGACAACCAAAGACCTACCATTCTACAACATCATTGCTGGAGTTTGCTTTAGTATCGCTCTACGCTTCGCCGGTTCGGGCAAGGCTGATGTTCGCGACCTGCTCATCCACTACTTGGACCAGCTCATGCGGATATGTCGACTAGGAGCCGGCACGTTCGATAAGAAACTGGCGAGGATCACTGTCCGAAATTGTCAAGACCTGTTGGCTCTCGCAGTTGCAACCGTCATGGCCGGCACGGGGGACCTGATTGTTTTCCGACGACTCCGATCCATGCACGGACGTGACGACAACGAGACGCCTTACGGAAGTCATCTTGCAGCTCACTTAGCCGTTGGGGCCCTCTTTCTGGGTGGCGGCACATTTACCTTTGGCACATCGAGTCTGGCTATAGCAGCATTGCTGATCGCTTTCTACCCGATATTCCCATCCGCCGTCCAGGACAACAAATCCCATCTACAAGCATTCCGCCATTTCTGGGTCCTGGCAGCAGAACCGAGGTGCCTTGTGGTCAGAGATATTGACACAAATCAACTGGTTTCTGTTCAAACCATCGTCACCCTACGGGATGGGGACGGGGTCCCTATTACTCTCCATAGCCCTGCCCTCTTGCCTGAACTGCATCTCATCAAGACAATCCGTACCAACAGTACCGAGTACTGGAATCTTGTTCTTGACCTGGAGAGTAACGAGGCACACATGAACGCTTTCAAATCAACACAAACGATCCATGTCCGCCGATGCCTTGCCAATGATGGCGGCAACTCGCCCTTTCAGGCAACCCTGCAAGCCTTGAACGAGGGAGAGGGCACCGCTTCCCAATCTCTCGAGTGGCTGTTTGAGTTGCCCGCATTTAAGTCCCTCAGCAAGGCCGAGAGGGCTTTGGTGCTTCCTCCGGACCAAGGCGGTGCCAGTGACGTACACGCAGGTACGGATGAAACCGTCGTCGACGCTCGACTGGTGTTGGAGAATGGCTCTCTGGACAGCGGGAAGAGAGACCGATTGCTAGGATTGAGACTGCTCTTCGAGTTTGCAGATCAGGCTGCTCGCGAAGGGAAAGAAATGCAATGGATACGCATGGAGGTGGTCGATCGCTTGAAGGCGAAGGTATGGAAGATGACAAGCGAAGAACAGACCTTGACCTGAGCTTTTGATTTCGGGGCTGGCTGTGCCTGGGATTCTTGCATCGTTAGCGGGGTGGGAAATAAACGCATTGCGGGAGCCAAAGGTGGGTGGGTCGGTGTGTGTGTGTGTGTGTGTGTACGGTATTTAGACATGATCGATGTCTAGGGTTATGAGAATCTGAATCAATTAATCAAATTTAATTCATTGTGTGATGTTATGCTCGCTCGCTCGCTAGAATAGGCAAGAAGGGACTCTCCCCTCAAATGGATACATCACGTCGTAGCTTCTTTATCACGGGACAGGTTGAGATCCGGCGAGCACATTGCCAACGCTGCTCTCTTCATGATCTGGCTTCCCTCTTGGTCTCGCTGGAATACAAGACGTTGTCTCAGCTCAGAATTGTGAAGCTCATCTTCAAGAAGAAGAAGAAGA